GAATAAACCATAGTATGATAAAAGTTCTGAAAACAAAATAAATTTAAAGACATAGATTATTGGGCACTTAAACATTTGTGTGGTTTTTAGGTTAGTTCCACATTTTTTTTTTTTAAATATAGGTGGCCACTAAATTAGTTTTGGCGCATAAATCCTAAGATCAGAGAAGGGTCATGGGATGAGATTGCCTGTTCCACCCAACACTTTTATGGTTGTGCATGCCTTACCTGGTTTGCACTTTGAATTAACTCATAGATTGGGGGATGGCGAGCTTTACCGACTGGCAAGCAAATAATAGAAAGCCCCCACTAGAAGTGGGCCATTGGATTGCTCAATCTAATCAGGAAACAGTAAGTTATTTAATCTGGCTTCCCATTGAAATCACTCTGGCCCATTGCCCAAGTCTAGCTCCTGTCTAGGCATCTCTGATTTAAGCCTTGTACAACGACAGGTAGAAAGGTGCATAGTTGAAAGGGCCTCCTGAAGTTGAGAACGACAGTACCAAGAACAACAGAGGCAGAGCTCTTTAAAAATAATTATTCCTTCATCACCAATTTAAAGGGAAGTTATTTTCCATACTTGCACTATGCCCAGGTAATAGAGAAAGGCACTGTGTTATTTTTCTTCCTAACTATAGTTAAACAATCCACCAAGTGACGTCCTGGTAGCCCGAAAGATTTATTGTTTGTTAAAAGCAATCTAATTTCAGTCATTATACCACAGAGTAATGTAATAGCAACGGAAATTTTCTTAATGGTTTGCAGCTCCCAAAACATTTTCATGCTCATTATTTCTTGAGCCTCACGTTAATTTTTTGAGGCAGATAAGTGAAATTCTCTTTTCTCCATTTTTTTTTTTAGCTTGAGAAAGTAAGACCAGAGAAAGAGTTAAAATGTATAAAATTCAGGATTGGAAGTGAAACGCTAGAGATTCTGCTACAAGAAATTTTTTTAATGGTTCCTAGATTATAAACCACTTGTCTTCACAGTCACTGCCAAACACCCCATGGCCCTCTGCAATCTGGTTAACCACTTTATTTGCATTGCCCAACAAACATATTTTAGGCTGTTGAAATCCTTAATCTGTCTACTCTTGCTTGGCCTTTGAGGCCACAGTGATATCAAACACCATAGAGACTTCCAGATTACCCAGCTTGATTTCTCTGCTTTCTAAATCCCTCTCTTTCTTCAAGACCCAGTTCAAAGTTCTATCTTCTCTGAGAAGGCTTTTTCAGATATAGTCAAATGAAACATATTTCTTTTACCTTTGGTCTTAGAACTAATATACTTGTAATAAGTACCTCAAGGCAGAGTTTAATTATTCTTCATTTTGCTTTTTGTCTTCCTCAAGTCAACTACTAAAAAAACAAAACCGACTAGTGGCTGTAAAATCGATTCCAACTCATGGTGACTCTGTGTGTGTCAGAATAGAATCGTGCTCCATAGGGATTTCACTGGATGGTTTTTCAGAAGTAAATCTCCAGGCTATTCTTCCGAGGTGCCTCTGGGTGGACTTGAACTTCCAACCTTTCCATCAGCAGCCAAGTGCTTAGCCATATGCACCACTCAGGGACTCCTCACCTCAGTTATGTCGTTAGTTGCTGTTGAATTGACTCAGACTCATAGCAAACTTACGTATAACAGAACAAAAACTGTTTAAAATCAGTGCTGATGTCTTATATTTCCCAT